TGCTTGTGGAAGAGGAAAAGTGACAAAACTTAGAGACCAACTACAGAAAAATTGCCGGAAACCAAAGATTGGTGGGAATGCATAGAATTATAAGGGAAAGAGTATTAAATTTAAGAATAAATTTAAAAAGGGTTGTATTCTTGTTACATGTCTGGCATATGATAGACCACAGAGGTTAGAACAGGCACTTCTTGGATGACGGAAGGAAGCTGGGAAGGGCTGCCTCGTGGGTGGCCATAGACAGTTAATTTCCTGGTGCTTCAACTTTTATGTATTAAAGCAATCAGAAGACAGTGGCATGAGAGACAAAGGCCACCAATCTGGTTCTGTTAGATGCAACAGTACTTGGTTGTTGCCAAGTCTATTGGCCTCTGGAACTTGCTGTGCTGTATCTGTTAACATGGGAAAAACCAGGTGCAAGAAGCCTTTTTCAGTCATTTGCCTTCATTGAGCAAGACTCAAGCTGCAATTAGCACTAACAGTTGGCTGGTCTGCCTATCATTTATGTCTTATCTTTCTTCTCTTATTAAGGAGGTGAAGAAATGGTTTATTGTCTGTGACCATCTTATGATGTATGTCTCACTTTCTCACCAGCTCTTATTTCCCGTTCACATGTGGCTTTCTGCTTGATAAAGTTCTTATTAAATCAGAGGAATATGAATGGAAAGATGATCTTAGTAGCCTACCACCAATTGTCTAGGGAAAGGGAGAGTGTTGAGTTGATTGAAACTGAGAAGTTGTAGTGAGAAGTAAAGTGAAATGTAGATAAGAAAGTGGTTACTTGAAAGTCAGAAGATAGAATGTGTATGAGAGGAGCAAAAACACGTAGGCTATAGAAGGAAGTCCATCTAGGACAGTGGTTTCCAGTCTGTATTATGGTTCTGTGAGATTACCGGCAGTGCCATAAATAACAAAAACATGTGTAGCAAATTTAAGAATCACAGAGGCCCCCTGTGCAAAAATGTAATTTTCTTTATTTCTTTACAGTTGAAGTCAACTTGGCTTATGAATTCCCATTTCCACTTGATGGCAGAAAAAGATCTCACTAATTTAGAGTTGTTTTGTCTCTACTGCTTCAAGACTCAGTCTTTCTGGGGGTAATGACACAACCTCTTCAGAATTCTTTCCTTCCAAACCCTGCATTTGTTTTTCTTCTGAAAGATCAATGGAGTTCTTTGTGGGTGGTAGGGCTGAAGTGGACTGACTTGAATAACGGTTGTCCTGGTGTCCCGGTTGGGGGTGGGGGGTTCTGGTCCATAAGTCATCTTCAGTTCTTGGAAACTTCAGCTAGGACCATGCTTGTCTCATCAGCCTCAAGTCCAAGGGCTCCTTGGTCTTCTTATGTCCTTCACAGCCCCTTTGAGTGTCTGGGGACTCTCAGCTACTTTGCCTGAATGCACTGGGATGCAATGGGCTTCTCTCAAGGAAGCCTACCTTGAGGCCCAGGCATGTCTGCTGCCAGGCCTGCTTCTTGGCTCGGGCCATGTTGAACACAGGGCTTTGCTATAACCTCGCTGGTGTCCAGAACTACATGCTGGGAAGCCAAATGGCATTTCTCTATTCCAGTCTCCTCCATCAACCTCTGTACTCAGGAGGAGGCCAGGTGATGCAGTTTGGATATTTGTCCGTTCCCATATCTCTTATTAAAATGTAATCCCTGGTTGGTTGTGGTGGCTCATGCCTGTAATCCCAGCACTTTGGGAGGCTGAAGTGGGTGGGTCATGAGGTCAAGAGATCAAGGTCATCCTGGCCAACATGATAAAACCCCATCTCTATTAAAAATACAAAAATTAGCTGGGAGTGGTGGCCCATGCCTGTAATCCCAGCTACTCGGGAAGCTGAGACAGGAGAATCACTTGAACCTGGGAGGCGGAGGTTGCAGCGAGCCAAGATCATGCCACTGCACTCCAGCCTGGTGACAGAGTGAGACTCTGTCTCAAAGAAAAAAAAAATCCCCAATGTTGGAGGTGGGGCCTGGTGGCGGTTGTTCGGATCATGGGGGTAGCTCCCTCAGGAATGTCTTGGGCCATCCCCTTGGTGATAAGTGAGCTTTTGCTCTGAGTTCACACGAGATCTGGTAATTTAAAAGTGAGTGGCACTGCCCCCACCTCTCCCTGGCTTCCTCCTGCTCTGGCCATGTAGGGTGCCTACACCTCCTTTACCTTCTGCCATGATTATAAGTTTCCTGAGACTTCCTCAGAAGCCCAGCAGATGCCAGTGCATGCTTTCTTATAACCTGCAGAACCCTGAGAGAATTAAACCTCTTTTCTTATAGATTACCCAGTTTCAGGTAATTTTTTAATAGCAATGCAGGAATGGCCCAATGAATCTCTTGTTAGGTGACACTGAAGAGTGGAAGCTCTGGATCACCCCTCAGAGACCTTTCAGGGTCTAGTAAACAGCAGCCTCCTCCCTCTGCTTCTCCCCTTCCCACCTGCTGGTCAACTCTGTTCCTTTGAGTGGGAGCAAATAGCTCTATATTACTATACATTTTTCTGCACCCCATGGTTTATGATATAAACTTTGTGATCTAAGTTTTCCAATACTTTGGCTTTGGAGGTTCAAGGATAAAAAGCATAAAACACTTCTTTCAAGCCTAGCCTTAATGTTTGTAATGGACAATCTTTCAAAATGTCCTGCCACATGGGCCATAGAAGATGTTTTATTTTTCAGGCATTGGATTAGGTTGTGTCAGTCAATACGATTTTGTTTCACGTGCATTATCAGAGACTCTTCCCAAAGAGGGTCCTGGGATCTGATCAGCTAGATGGGTGGAGGAGAAACTGAAAACCCTCGGAGGACAAGGTCTCAGTCAAGTCTCCTGAATGATAAGCATTTCAGAGGTGGGAGGGAGACGCTCCAGAAGGTGTCCAGATGCTAAGGATGCTATTTCTGTTTCTTGCAAGTTTTTGTCCAAGATGTGAGCCGTTGAATTGCATGACTAGTATACAATATCAGTGTAAGTGGTAATGTTTACTCTGAAGCATGTTGATGTGCTCAGAGCATTTTTGTGGTACTGAGACCAGAGCAGATAGGGATTCAGGCATGACAGTCTCCATCTTATGGGAGCCTCCTACCCAAGGGATGGAGTGAGGCAGGCAGGCACACCCGTTATCTGAGGAAAAAAAATAAAGGGAAGGAGAGTCAGTGAAAGTGGTCAGGATGGCTGAGTGAGGGAGGAGGTGACTTCAAGGTCCCAGATAGAACAGTGGTTGTAAAGTGAGAAAGAGGAGGTCTTCCAATTCCATTTCTGTGTTGGGCGGGTGTTTAAGAGTCCCACCTGGGTCCAGAGGACTGCAGGTCTAGCAGGACACGGGGTAGGAGTGGCCGAAAGGGGACAACACTTAAGAGAAAATTGTAGATTTTATTTTACATAGTTACACAAATCAATTTCACTTTCTACTTGTAAAATGCTTGAAAACCTTTATTATGTAAATGGCAAGATAAGTTTATGTTCACCACCATAGTACTTCTGGGCCAGTTCCACAGCATTGAGCCAGGCCCATCTGCTGTAGCTTTCAGAACTGCTGTTTGGACACGTGGTTGAAGCAGCGTTCAGCTGGAGGATTCAGAGTAATGGCATCAGTGTGGGAGCTTAGAGGATCAACTGCTTGCAACCCTAGCTGTACACTGGAATCACCTGGGAGCTTTAAAATCCCTGCCTTTTGGGCCCCAGCCCCAGAGACTCTGATATGACTGCTCTGAACACAGGAGTGCCATGTCCCCCCGTGATTCTAAGTGGAGTCAAGGCTGTGAGACCCTCTGCTTTATAAAGGACTATTAAGAGCTTGGATTGTTAATGAATTCTCATAATGCTACATCACTGGCCTCTGTTGTAAGCCTGCTTCCCTGAGAAAAAGGAACCATAAAAGCTTTTGGAATCAGATTGTTTAAAAATGAGAAATTGTCATGCCAGGTTGCAAGACAGTTTTTAGGGCAGTTAAGCTGCTGCTGCTCATTCCTCCATCTTTCCTTCAGCCCGGAATTGTCTGAGGGCAGCTGAGGCTCAGGTTGCCTCAATTCTTGAGTTTCTCGAGGGGCAGATCCAGGGGACGGGTTAGGGGAACAAAAGCCCGCCCAGTCTGAAAGGATGCAGGAAGGGTGGTGTGTACTGGAAGGAAGGAAGCTATCATCATTTATTAAAGTCTTCTTGGAGGATGTCCCATGAAGACCTCCAAACAAGCTGGAGGGGCCAGTCACTTGCTGAAGACTTGGAACGTGCAGGGGGAAAGCCCAGCGCCCTCCCTTCCCTTCCCGGCACGGAGCCCAAGGCATGATCCTGCCAGGCGTTTTCTGCATGACCTTGGCTGTTCTTCCATTCCCCTGGGTATGAATTCTTATTGGTAAAGTGAGCTGATGAGAATACTTGGGTTTTAAGTCTAAAAGTTTAAAAACCTTGTCTACCCCCGAGTCTGGTATCAATATTTTATAGTATGACACTTAAGTTGCTTTTTTCACCCGGGTGCACAACAATAACAATGAAACCAGCAGATAATGCGTGAGTAGTATCAGCTCTGGGCCTGGCACTATTTTATATGCATTAGCTCATTTTTTTTTTTTTTTTTAAATGTTCTCAACCACTTCATGAGCTGAGTGCTTTTACGATCCCTTTTCACAGAAGAGGAAACAACGGAGCTACAAAGAAACTAGTGCACAGAGCCAGTCGGGGGGAGCCCGGGGTCAGGCACCAAGCTCCAGAGGTCGCTCTGGCGAGCGTTTGCTTCGGGATCTGCTGCCCTGCAGTCGCCAATTCAACTCGCGCGTCGCCGCCAGGTTCCAGGGGGACAGTAGAGCCAGGTTGCGGTGGCTAGGTGAGTTGTCTCAACTAATTCTAGTGGGGCCGCGGCAGCCCTGGAGTGGCCGGGCGGCGACTCGGGAGCGCGCGGACGCGCTCCAATGCTCTGGAACCGGCGCGGGACCCCCGCGGGCTGCCCCGGGCAGGGCGGCCTCCGGAGGGGGCTGTCCAGGCGCGCCAGTCCCTCCGGGTGGAGAGTCGGGAGCACCCGGCCAGCTCACTCGCCGCCCGCGGACTGGCCACACGGAACCGTCTCCGCCCGCTCCCCGCCCCCGCAGCGGCCGGGCTGGAGTCGGAGCCGCGCCCCGCAGTTCCCGGCCGCGAGGACGGGCGCAGCTCGTGCCCGGAGCCCGGAGCCGACTCGGAGAGCGCGGCGCCGGTCGGGAGGAGCCGGAGTGCGGCCGGGCGGGACAGTGGGGGCGCCGGCCTGCCCCGCGCGCCCCAGGCAGCGGCAGGAATGTGACAGTCGCGCGCCCGCGTTCCGGAGCACTCCTCGCTCGGCTCCTAGGGCTCTCGCCCCTCCGATCTGAGCCGGGTTCCGCCAGGGGCTGGGATCCTCTCACCCCCGACAGCCACCGGTCCACGTAGGAGGAAGATGCAGCATCGGGGGACTAGGTAGGGTTGAGGCGGACCGCGGCCTTGGCACCTTCGAGGCCCCCCGCTCTGCAGGGCGCCGTGAGCGCCCTCCCTAAGTTGCACTTGGCTGTCAGCGTGTGTTGTGTAAGAAGGGAATGGCGGTGAGGTCTGCGTGTGTGTTTCCTGTGTGGAGCAGGAGTTAACGTTGTTCAGGTCGTTTGAGGAACTTGCTGAGTGTTCTGGAGGTGGGTTCTAGGTAGATGTGCGACTCCCCGTGTGAACGGCTTTCAGGTTTTCTATCCCGCTGCGTTCTACAGGTTCAGGAGCGTCCCTCTTAGAGGCTGGGCTCAGGACCCTCAGTCTCCTTAACCAGGTGAGGGCTGAGGCCTTAACCGCACTGGAGAGGGTAACTTGTTGCCCCTCCAGGTAAAGGATGGTGCTAGGGAATGTAGCTACAAGCAAGTAGGCACTGAGAAGACCCTCGTTATTTCCAACAGGCATGCCCAGAACTTTACAGTTTATAAGGCCCTTGACAGCGACTGCTCTTTTATCCTCCCTATAGTCTTGTGAGGCGGGTGCTGTCATCGCCCCTGTTTTACAGCGGGAAGCAGAAGCTTAGGTGACTAACTTGCTGGAGGTTGGTGACATTGTTTTCTGTCTCAATCCCTTCTCATTTATTGTTTGATATCCCTTTTGATATTTGATTTAATATTCTATATTCATATCTGACATTAGCCTTTATGCTAGACAGAAAGGCAGAGCCTTTGGGAATGGGGTTTGCTGGGGCAGAGGTGTGGAACTCTGATTTATTTTCTGTCTCTGGCTAGCTGCCTAGCTGCTGTGTGAAGCTCTCCTGCACCCGTTCGCCCTCATGTGGCCTCCATGCTGTTCAAGAAAGGACATCTGATCAGAATTCTCACAGGACTGTCGCAGCCCAGAGCAGCCCCCTCTATTTTTAGTAGGCCCTGCTTGTATGTCATAATGTGACATCTTTTTTTTTTTTTTTTTTTTTTTTTTTTTTTTTTTTTTTTTTATGGTTCTCAAACCCGTGACATCTTTTGAGTCTACCTTTCACTATTGGTGAAACACTACTTAATATTAGATTTGCTAATTTATTAAACATTTATTGACTACTATGTGCCAGGCACTGTTGAGTGCTGGGGAGAAAACAGTGAATACAGCAAATGAAAACCACTGTCCTCTCATGGACGTGTGTCCTCTTGGTAAGGTCATAGGATCTGGGCAGTCTCTCTTCAAAAGGGGGCGGTCTTTGAAATTCAGCCCTTTGTTCAAGGGTGTGGATGCACTGGCTGCCTGGAGGACACCACTCAGCAGCTCCAGTGCAGAGGATGAGGATGGGCACAGATGCAGCTCTGCGGTTCCCTAGAGAATAGCAGGGTTGCTGTTCTCCACGTTCATGGTGTCCCTTGCCTCAGTTCCTAGGATGTGGAGCTCTAGAATGCGGAGCTACATGGCTTGGCCATGCACAGTGACCAGGGCGGATAGAAACTGTGAGGCCGGGATGTATCAGTGCGAGTTGAGTGTCTACCTGCAAGCTGGGATATCATGGAGAAGACGTCTCAGTAATGAGAGGGGTCAAGCTGGACAATTGCGGTGAAACTACCACAGTATAGGGGGTGGAGAAGGGCAGAGATCCTTATATTCTTGTGCTACATAATGGATCCACTTGGTACTTGCTATTATAAAAGAAGTTGTCAGGGGCACCTGGGACTCACCTTTGATGGCACAGCTGCACGATGCTACCTATCTGTTGCCGTGAGTGGGTGCTTGGTTTGCGTTTTCCTCTCCTCGAGGTTGTGAGGTGGGCTGGTGGCACAAGACAAGGACCTGCACCGTCAGCAGCCCTTTTCTCCTCTGATTGTCTGCTGTGCTTCCAGGAAATGCTGCTGGAGCCTCCTGGGCATGCCTAGCACAGGGAGTGTGTGGGCAGTCCTGGCACTGACTTATCTCACCACATTCTGAAAGAGACCAGAGCTTTTTGAGGCCCCAGTAACTTGTATGTTCTTGGATTCGTGCTGTCTCCTATTTGTGCACATCGGGAGCACACACATGGCAGCATGATGGAGACCTCTGTCACTTCTCAAGAGGACTCATGCCCACGAGAAGACAGGGGTGCCGTAAATTAAAAGTGGGGTAAAAGGAAAATAAGAGTGGAGATGGAGTGGAGCCTGAAATGAGGCTTGATGTGTGTAGTGTAAACCCTGATGACCTAGATGCTGGTAAACTTACCCAAGTGGGGCTGTGAATGTGGAGGGAAGGCTGAGTCTTAGGTCTGCCTGCACCTTAGCACTGCCTGAAGCACTCAGAAATGCCAGGACTGGATGCAGAGCAAACAAACTAGCATCTCTGGGGCCGTGCTGGGCATGCGTATTTTCAAAGCCCCCCAGGTGGTTCTAACACGTAGCCAAGGGTGACAACATAAAGACGCTGTCCTGTAGGCAATGGGAAAGAGGAAACCCGGCAGATCATAGCCACCAGTGTCTTCAAGATGAAAGCTAAGTGCTCAGGAGAAAAAGCATTCTTGGAACAAAGAGAAGTGGGGACTTTTCTTTTAAAGGTACCTGAAAAAGAGGAGAGAATAGTGAGTTTTCAGTGGTCTCTTGAAATGACCTTCCCTGCAAGTGCAGTTCAGTAATCATGGTTCAGCGAGCTGTGGACAGGAAGGGTCTAACCATGATGATCTCTGCACATTTGGCATCCCAAACTTGAGAACTCATAGATAAAATACAGCCAATGACTAATGACCAAGAGTTAAATGAAAAGTTAAATGGTGTCACTTTCCATCAGTGGGTCTCACCTCATTAAAACTCAACACCTCTCTTAATGCAAACATTTTAAAACATTCCTTTTATAATTTATAATGATACAGCAAAATTTATCTACAGCACAACTTTTAAAAATCAATGTAATACTTAGATGTTAAGGAGAAATAAAAGCAGCTTGTATTAAAATTATGCATTTCAGTGTGCAGACGCTTGAGCTGAGCTGAACTAGAACCTAGTAAGGTAAGCCAGTGCTTTCTGTAGGCTGCAGGACAGCTGACATGGGGTGGAAACAGGTGAGTCTCAGCAGCCATCCAGATGCCACTGAAGGATGTGTGACTCTTGGGTCAAGGTCTTGATGGTAGTCAAAGGCCATTCTTCTCTCAATTTTCATAGTAATTGCATTCTTGAAAAATTTAGTGTGTATAAACTTGTGCCAACAACATACACATTTTATATAAATGTGGAAGGGAGTTAAGGGCCAGGCTTCAAACACTGTAAATATGTTTCCATCAGTATGAACGCCTGTGAGACCCCTGGAGGTCATGCAGGACAGGTCTTTACGGAGCAGAACTGCCTGTGTTGTTCCAGATGTCAATCATGGATGGCCTCCAATGCTGAATGCATCCTGATCATCCAGGGTCCCCTTCCCCACAGGTTCTGAAATGCCACCTCAAGGGCCATATCCACCCCAGTGAGAACCACTGCTTTCCCTGCATTGCTGGGCAGTGAATGATTAATGTGCTATTGCAGGTGTGGGCACTGAAATAGTGGGGGCACTGGACATGTCTAAGCCAGCCATCAGGAATGCACCTCTGTTACCTGCTAAAGGATCAAAGATATCAAATTAGAAATCAGAAAGGTTGGTGCTTTGTGTGTTGGGGTGAAGGATCACAAGGGAGATTTGAGGGGTGTTGGAAATGGTCTACATCCTGATGAAGTATTCCTGGTGCACACAGTTGTTGCAGTTTATGGAACTGTCCACTTAAGTTTTGTGTTTCACCATGTACAGTATGTTGAAAAATATTCACCCCAGTAAAAAATTATAGAAGTGAAAACAATGTAAAGATTGTTGTAGAGAAGGATTAGTCCTCTGAAACTGTCTATGGATCCCAATCTGAGAAACAGCTGTTCTTGCCTGACTGGGAGGCAGTGATCCAGGGAGGAGGGTCTCTCGTTTTCAGTCAACTTTTTGACAAGTCCGGTGCAATTGTGATCTTGGCATTGTAGCCTCTAGTGGCTGGAGAGGAAGTGTGTTGGAGGCATGGGAGAGCCTGGGAAGGTCAAGGCAGGACATTTGGAAAGGGGACAAGGACAGGAGATGAGGCCCATGCATGTCTCTGGGTTCTGGTTCTGTGGTCCAGGAGCCCTAGGAGGTTTGTAGGGGTGAGGTGGAAAAGTCAGACTTCAACCTAGAACCTAGTGGTCAAGAGGCTTGGGGCAGGTCCATCCCCGTCTGTGGCATCTGGCGACAGTGATCCTGTCTCTCTGTGTCTCATTACCCCTTTTGCCCTTAAAAACCACGTGCCTTAGTTGAAACCACCAATCTTACGGCTTTTCTCCTTGTATTAGCTGAATAGTTGGGATTTCATAGCAACGCTTGAAACTTCTTTGTACATTCGTATGCTTGTGCATCCTCAATGGTAAAAATAAAACTTTCCTTCTCCCGTTTATATGGGTAAATAAACCATTGATAACTATGAGAGAGGCGTTAGGATTCCTCTACCAGTAGGAATGTTATCAGGCTTGGTGTTTCCTGGGCTTTCTGAGATGGTAAGGGAGTTTCTATTTCTCTGGTGTGGGAGTGTTTACTCATAGTTTGGTAGAGCTGTTTCTCTGGGGGAAAATCAGAGGTGACCACATTGAATGCACAGTTGGGTTTTTGGGTTGTGTGCATGTGATAGAGTGTGGGTGACTAATCTCCACGGGATGGAAACCATTGTGTCACGTTTGGAACACACCGTGGTGGTCCTCAGAATGCTCTGTGGTTATTTCCACACTTTCCTGCACTAGCTTGGGTGTGGAACTTCCTGGGTGGGCTCTGTGACCATTAGGGGTAGGTCTTTCCCTCTAACTTGCCCCACAGGTGTGAGTGTGTGGAGCCCGTTTAATTCCATTTCTCATGATCAGGATTGGATAGAGATGACTGTGAGCATTTGCTTAGGATGGTGTCTCTAGATTTTACCTCCCAGGGATTCCTTCTGGGAAATGAAAAGCAAAGGCTCCACCTGGCACTCCAAAGCACTCACTGTAAGG